GGGCCTCCTGTCGGGTATCCATCCAAGCTGTTTTCAACCCCTTTACGGTTCAGAACAGTCAACTTGTGTGAATGCAAAGTTAATCGGATTGCATGGCGACTCGTTCATGCAACACGATGATTAGTTATCCTTATATAACACCTATAGTCAGAAATGTTTTAAGGTGGCCTTGGAGTACGTACTAGCCAGGGTTTCATGACTAATGGATTGTACTTTTTCTATCGCTTCAGGGCTCAGAGTCGAATATTCAAAATCTGGTAAATATAACTCAAGAGGATAGCAGTGACCTTTCACCAAAATATGGCAGTGAACAACTTGTTGACTTGAGAGTTATTCTAAAGTAAGAATTTCCTCTTGCTGGGTCGGAAGCTTAGTTGTCAAGGTCAACCGTCCGTTGTTCAATTCACAAAAATTTCTAAACTTCCCTCTTTAGGGGTCTGCTGATACAACCCCTCACCGCCACCAGAGAGACCCTTATACGACTCCATTTCCCCATTCCCTACCACCGCCCTCACCTATATCCAATGAACTGATAATAAATTGACAACTTTAGACCAATGCTTACCTAATCTCTATCAAAATGATCACTAAAAAACGCTAAAAACAATATCCCTCTCCCGCCAACACAATCCATCGAATTTCCAAGAATACTCTCCCCTTTCTCCAACGTTCTGAGAGTCACCAGCTCCTAAGACGCCCTTCGTCCACGAAAAGACTCAAATACCACCCGTCTCGTTGAGAACTGCGTAACGCACTGTTCACCCTAGGTAGGGAAATATCCAACACCGAAAATTCACTTTTCGTTTCCACATAAATGACACACGTAGTCAGGAGTGGCGTTCTCTCTAACGCCATCTGCCATTGACTGCAGTAGGTTTAGGGATACGATTCAAGTCAAACTTCAAAAGTTCAAAAAACGCTTGTAGACAAGTGGTTTCGGTGTAGGTCACTATTGTTTTACGGTTTCCCCGGGAAATTTTAAAGTGAAGAGACGTACTCGTTGATTGCACTGAGCACCAGCATATCCTTCAGGGCAATTACATACGGCACAGTTTTTCGGTCTCATCTCACCAGCATTAAAGCAGGCGGGTGTACCACATTGAGCTGAAAAATTCATCAAATCCAGTTCGCCATTTCGACTTGCTTTGAGCCACCACGTTTTCCACCGAATTTTAGCTCACCGTGGCACCCGTAGTGATCATTGAGCATCTTGATGTCAAAGAATGAAATCAGATATTGTCCCTCAGTTTGAAGATATCGTCCAAGGCGAGGCTTCAGTGAATAGCCTTTCGTCGTGTGCCTAAAGTATCGGGTCAATTTCTAGCTAGAATAATCTAAGTCCGATGAAAAGTGCTTAACCCACAAGTTGGCTGCATAGTGCATTACGCTGCCGTATTCATACGGTGTGTAGTTATTGGTTTCAAAACCGTTAACTATGGCGAAGTTCCCTCGCTTGTTTTCCTAAAAATCGGATTTTCAGTGCTACCCAAGACGCATTAAGAGTTCATTCAGTACACATTTCACCTACATATTTCCAGATCTCTTTTTAGTTTCAAGGATAGTGGTCCGAGTTGAGCTTGTTGCACTTACTTAAGGGCAGGTAGTACAATAATTTGGATTTTGGGCATTTGTAAATCAGCCTAATGTAAGCGAAGGTTAGGTCCCGAAAACGAAAAGTGGCGCTTCCGTGGGAAGTGTACACCTACAGCGACTTGACAAAGTTCCACCCGTCCAGTTAATTGCCTCCACTCCTCTACACGCAGACATATCGACTGCTCAAGCGACTGACCCTCGTTCTCGGACTGAAGTCCTTTTGGCACAGTGGCAAGGCAGTACGTTCACGTTGACGACGGCAGCCATCCTAGGATCTCGCCTATGGCGTAATCATTGGGTAAAGATCAAGAGAGACGCGAAAGCGGCGTAATCAAATGGTGGAAGTAGCGTGGTGGAAAATGACACCGCAAGCCTCGAAAATGGCTCATAAAGGCAAGATTCGGGATAAAATAGGTGTGGAAAAGCGTTCAGTTATGAAGCTAGAGGTGGGAGGTGGTCTGTAAAAGAGAAGGAAAGCAAACGAAACCACCGATTACGCCCCGCACAGAGACCTCCCCTATTTCAGCCGCATTCCACCTTGGGATAGAGAAGGGGCGCGTTGGACGAGTTTCACGAACCTAACTCTAGTTGCTCCAGTGCCAATGACATTGGGTCGCAATGGGACCGCTGCCTCAAATGCGCCCGCGCTTTTCAAGCAGCGCCACGTGGCAACCGACAGCGGAGGGTGGGGCTTGCGGACGAAGGTGTGAGTTGCGGGTCGGACGAGCTCCTTGCGCCTTTGTCGCGCACTTTCAAGCGGCAAAAGGGGCGCGACATCAACGCTTG